GCAGCGCATGGTTCTCTTTCCTGGTCATGTTTGCCCCGCATCAGAAAACCCGCGCACTGCGGCAAGAGATCGCAGTGCTTCAGTCGAAGGCCCGGGCGCTGCGTAATTTGTAGCTCTGTACCTGTCTGGATTCGTTCACTGGCATGTGGGCATGCATGATCAGATTTGATGGTTGGGTGCAGTGGGCCAGAATGATTTGCAAACCCTTGTTCCCAATATTACAAGCCACCACCCGCCTAATGGTAATTGTTCCACATATTTACGAATGATAATAACAAACATGCAAATACAAATAATCATAGTCAGAGTTTGGGGTTATCCAGCGCTGTGGTGGCTGCAAAGGATCAAACTCTGTATGCATGGCTTGCAATGGCGCAAACAAGACTGCGTGGAACACCTTGACGAAGAAATGCGAGCTGATACATCTTTCTTCTATTTAGGCCTGCGGAAAAGTGTGGTCGAACAATGTGTTTGGGTGTGTGTGTCTCTGTGTGTGTGTCGTCCCTGCGGTGATGCCATGTCTGCAATTTGTTCCTGTTGTGTCGATGGCGGATTCCACTGTGATGTCGAGGCCTGGTTGTAGTTCGTACGACTATCTGACTATATCTGTTTGAGTCTGATTGCCAGGATGTGTTGTCCCAGCAGGATTAACTGGAACGAGGGTTTCCTGGTTGGCCCCACGACAAGTTGGAGAGCCTTGTACTTTAGTTGTTTCTTCGAAACCTGCTTGATTCTGGCCGCATGCCTCTTGCGTCTATGGTTTTCTATTCTCCACACGTACAGCGGCTTTCACACACACACACACAATCCAACTAACGATCTAACCATCTGAAGTTCACTAAATACCAGTAGCTAAATATCTCGTTAATTAACTACTCACGGGAACTACTGTTTCTAACTACTTCCATCTTTCTAACTACTCCCACTGCTCATGCACTACACTAATTTGTTGGCTGCTTGTGAGCCGTGAGAAAGCAGTGGGAAACCCTCCCGCCATTACAAGGAATGGGAATCCTGTGAAAAGATGCGGCCTGGCAACGCCAAGTGATGTGACTCAACCTAACTGCACTTGTACGCGCTTTTTCTTGGAACCGTGCTTTGATAGGTGAGGGAGCTCGAGCATCGGCTCTCCCTCTCTCAACCTCAACCGCCGCTGCCTCGACAAATTTTCACAAGCATGGTGTCGTTCATTTTCTGCCTTTTCGAGTTCGCCGTTCCCGAGGACCCGCCGCGGCTCCGGCGGCTCCGCGGCCCGAGAAAACGGACAGTTCTGGGATGTTGTGGGTGGGTGGGTGGGGTGTGTGGGTGTCCGTGCGTGCGGCGTCCGTGGTAGGCGGGGTTGGGTGGCAGGGGGTGGATCAGCCAACAAGACATCTCAAATGCATTGCCATGAATCACCAGGCTGGCGGTGACGCCGGCTGCAGGACCAGGTACATGTCTCACAATGGAGAGTGTCCATCACATGTCAAAGATGGCTGTAATAATCGAAGCACTGCCCATCAGCAGCAAGCTTCCTGAAGCAACGCTGGGATCCTTTCCGTGTACCTTTGCTCATACGGGTCGGGTGTGTTGCGACCACAGGCATGAGCAGACTTGCAGGAACCCAACAGCCTATGGCAGGGAACCGGAAGCCTAGCTGGATGGTCAAGCTGTGCTCACGGGAGGAGCCCAAAGTTGCAGCATGAGTTTTGATAGTGTCGTGAATGGCATCCCAAAGACGTGAGTCCTTCGCGGACCTGACTGGTGAAGTCAAGAGAAGGAATGCCATGCGCATCCTTAGCTTGCGTTGGCTTCTCAGTGTTGAGTACGTCGTGGGAGCCATTCGCCGGTTGCCTTTAGCCGAAGCCTGGGTGACTGAGCCACCTTGCGCCGTAGGAGCCATTCTCCGTTTACGTTAAGCTACAGCCTGAGCCTCGTGCGTGGGTCGTGCGTGTGTCGAAAAGAACGCCAGAAGCACGTAGACGACACAAGGTGAAGCCCGAAGGAACAGCTTGCCGTTGTGCGAAGATGCTCTCGTGAGGGTACTCACTTACACAGAAAAGCTCAAGCAGAGTTGGACGTAAATAACGTTCTTTGTTCATGATTGAATCGAGCCATTATAGCACCTTTGTCGGAGTACGAACACTGCCCAATGCAGCTTCAGACAGCGCAGTTCAATGATATTGAGACTCACATGGGCAGGGACCCAAGTCGACTCCGCACTCAGCACCAGCATTGATGCTGTGCCATGCGATCATTCAGGTAACCTTTCAAGGAAGGATGCCGCGAGTCTTGCAGGATCCGCGCTGCTCTCGATGCTAGCGTGCAGCTTGCTGAATCGAGCCTTTTGCCAGGCCGTGACCTCATCGATGTCCTCACACCCGACAAGGCCAGGGATGGGACAGAAAAGTAGCGATGCCACAGGTATCTTGCTTGTATGGCGGAGCAGGAAGACATGAGAATACTGCAAGTCGCACGTAGTGTGTCAAATCTTGTTTCCCTCTTCTTGCAACATAGCTACGATGACTGTGCGGTGGCCCAGCATGGTAGGCTAGCCTTCGCTAGCAAGTCACCAAAAAGATGGAGGGCCTTTGCTGAACGCCAGGCGAGCAACAAAATGAGACCCAACGTCGAGTCAATCGGAGCAGCTGGCACGGGACGAAAGCAGGACGGCACCTGCTGACCACAGCGTCTCTCAAAGTTGGCAGATCTTCAAGCTTGCGTTGACCACCGCGGGGGATTTGGCCCAGCAGGACTTGCCATGAGCATCGGGTGAACATCTGTACATGCACTGCCAGCCAGCAGGCCTCGATTCGATTTTTTCCGGTTTTGACAACAACGTTTGGGTTCGCATTGTTCCGGTTTTCAGCGGTTAGTGGAATTCGATTCGCAATTCCTGGCTGTTCTGATGCGTGTGAGCAGACATGAAACATGATCAATAAGAAAGGCAAAGCGAATTTGGCCAGCACAGGTCAGGAAGTGCAAAACAGAAGCGTGTGTCGAATGAGCCTTCATGTCTATGGGACTTTAGTGTTCCCTTTCTTCAACCATCGTGCCCGCTCCGCATCGTTCACAACCCCACAAAACATACTCCGATTTTCCACGCACTGCTTATTCCCGAAGTCCTCGCCATCCGATGGCTTGCTGAGCCGTTTTGCTACTGGTAGCTCAGTCCTTAAATGAACAGTTGGAGTGCTCTTCCTCAGAGGTGAGGGCCGATGGTGGCCCGGATGACCATTTCATCGTGCAGCCAGCCTAGTCAGCGTCCCTTTCGACACCCACAGTTCCGACCGTTGTTTGGCAGCTGTTGCTGCAGCTGTAGTAACTGTAGTAGCAAGGACGGAGCATCTTATGACCGTTCCGCTATTCTGCCGCGCGGCGGCGAGGAGATCGGTTTGAACGACGCCGCCTTTTATTGCTAACCTTTGCTCACTGCACCGTTCTCAATGATGTTGTGCAGGATGACTTCTTGAGAGTCTACGAGAAGATGCAAGAACACGTCGTGCAGAGATCTCGGTTGGACGGGCTGGCACTTGGTGTTCGCCTTTCGGCCGCACCAAGGCCGAAGTCCGGCAGACTGTTCAAAGGTATCGAAGACAAGGACGCGGTCCTACAAACTCGGGCAGCCGTGGTGGCCTATGTGCAGTTGCGAGTGCAGGACGGCAACACTTTGTGGCGCGTCGTCATGCTGCGGGCTGAGCTGGGCTGAATTCTGAATGGTGCCAGGGCGTGAGTGTGCTCCTAGCATGCCTCGTGCGAGGTTCCAAAGTGCAGTTGATGGCTTCGCTTAGATGTGCAGAGCAAAGGTTTACGGCCAGGGCCTCATAGCGTACTGAGAAGCCGTACTGCAGGTGCACAGGTGCGGAGAGAGCGGCTCGCATCAGTCCAGAGTCCAGAGAGACACCTGCGGTGCAGAGTCATCGCAGTGTTCTTCTGACTGAACTTGATGGGCAGGTTCGAGATTTCGAATATAACAAAGATGGTTGGGACCCTAAGAGGATCTGGCACGACGGGTGATGGGCTTGAGTGGTATTGTCGCCAATTCAGGCTACCATAAGTTGGAGCAGCAACGAAAGTCTGTCGAGGAGTCGGTGAAGAGGCACCAAGGGTCTTCGCGACTGCGAATCTTGCGGTCAGTCAGCCACTCTGTGACAAGGCAGCGCGATCTCGTTGGTCCAAGTCCTGCCAGATTCGCTGGACGATGCATGAGGCAGGCGATGAGCATGCAGGCATGATGTGAATCCATGACAAGCCCGAAGGGCACGCAGGCGGCTGCACAAGCAGCCTTTTAGTTCTGCGCGAGACCACGAGACTGCCTGCCAGGCCAGTGAGGGCAAGCTGAAGCCCTATGTGGGCTCCGAGTTCCCGGTCGATCGTTTCAGGCCCATTCCATGCTGTCTGGATTCCCTTCCCATTGACTTGGAGTTTTGCAGCCACGGAGTCAGGGAAGCTTTTAAGCTCATGGAGGAACGCAAGGCCAGGCACCCGCTGGAGAGTGCGAGCGCACCCTCTTGTATCCTGGCGAGGTCATCGGTAAGTCTGGATCTCAGCAAGTTGAGACTTTGTTGAGCACTGGGTCCTTTGCATTGTCCGTGAAGGTGTTGCATCACTTTTGCCGCCGAGCCGCACAGTAAGCTTTAACCAGGCCTCGGCTCTCGTGGGCCCTGGGCCGCCTGGGCCATGGGCTCGTCTCTTGCACAAAGCTGCGGGCCACCAGTGTCAGCAGAGAGGGTGTGCAGCTCCAATTTCGACCAACGGCCTCGCGCGCTGCTAACCGGTTGCCAAACAGAGGACAAGGAGAGGGCCGACCGAGCGGTGCAGCTGCAGCGAGCCACCTCTTCTAAAGGGTCGCTTTACAGTCATGGAGCAAAAGCCGAACGACCTGACACAACGCTTCGATTCTGCGCTCCACAGCGTTTTGGGTCGATCCTGGTTTGGGTCAGACGCTGGAGGCCCGTGGCTTGCGACCCATGCCCACATCAGCCTCATCCGCCTGAGTTTCCCGTGTCAGGGTCATCTCCATGAGCCTCGTCGGCCAAGAGTTTTGGATAGTCGCTGTAGGCTGCGCCAAGGGCCAGCCGGAGCCTCAGATCGCAGAGGAGACCGCACCAAAGCCAATGGTAGAGCCGAAGCCGCGAGGGAGTCGCCTGCCAAGAAGGATGCGCTCTTGGCACAGCCTCTTGGCCCCAGACTTTGCTTGGAGGATGTCGGGAACGGCGGTATCAGCCCAGGTTGAAGCAGTCTCCAGTTCTGCGAGGGGCGCCTGCCAGCATCCAGGTCGGCATCACGAGACCTCGTGCTGTAGCCGTGCTGCTCTGTCGCCCTTTCTTGTTTCCTTAGGAGCCCTCGAAGTTCGATGTGCCAGATGGCGAGCGATCCCTCCTCTTTGGATCCTTCGACAACCTGATCCGCCTCACGGACCCGTCTCTCGCGGGTCCCGGGTTGCTTTCCCTCTTACACATCGTAGACTTGGTAGCTGTACTTTCGTCGTATTTCCATTTCAGTCTCCCTGCCTGTCCCTGCATTTTGTGGCTTCCCCTCTACGAGAGGACGACCTGGCAAAGGCCGACGGTCAGGTGGATTCCATCCTCCACCGCCTGGAGCGCCAGTGCCCGTGGCTGCAGGAATTTCCGAACCTTCACACAGCCACGAGCACCCCCCGTCCGAAAGATTCGATAATGTCGCTCAAGGTACGTGGAGCTGGATGCTAAGGCGACCTTCAAGGTGAAGTCGCAGCGGAAGGCCAACGCCTGCCCAATCCCGAAAGGGCGCAAAGACGAACCCGAAATTGGACAGGAGATGCCGGTCCTGGACTATCTGCAGCACGCGGCCCCAGCTTGGGTCGTCTTCCTTTTCTTGCATTCTGATGCCGTTTCAGGACTTGGTCATGGGATGAAGCGAAGTTTCCCAAGAGCCGATCGATCTCAGATACCCTCACCTGGACAATGCGGGAGCCCTCGGACTGGGTGCAGACTGTTTGCCCGCGTGCTGCTACGCGGCGCGACTCGCACAATCGCACGAGTCCGCACAGCTGCCGAGCTCAGGTCGGTGGTAAACCACATTGACGAGGAAGCCCGAAATAAGACTGCGCAGTTCAATGATTTCAAGACTCAGATGGGCAGGGACCCAAGTCGAGTCCGCACTGAGCACCCGCGTTGGCGCTGTGCCATCCGACCATGCAGGCAGCCTTTCAAAGAAGGATGCCGCCAGTCTTGCAGGACCCACGCTGCTCTCGATGCTGCCCGGCAGCATTCTGAATCGAGCCTTCTGCCAGGCCGTGACCTCATCGATGTCCTCACACCTGACAAGGCCAGGGATGGGACAGAAAAGGTAGGGATGCTGCAGCCTTGGTGTCACTTCTTGCTCGTATGGCAGAGCAGGAGGACATGAACGACACGAGAATACTGCGAGTCACGCGTATGGTGTCAAATCTTGTTTCGCTGTTCTTGCTGCGTGGCTACAAGTACTGTGCTGGGGTATAGAGTCTGAGTGGTAGGCGAGCCTTCGCTAGCAAGTCACCAAAAAGATGGAAGGCCCTTCCTAAATCACAACACATGACCTCCAGCTTCCACCCAACAAATCTGCGCGGGATCGGCGTCAGAGTTCCATATGCACATGCGAGGAAGAACTCCGCCAGAGGCCCAGATATGGAGCCCTGGGACAAATAGCACCGGGGACCTCAGTAGCATCGCTGTGCATGCCAGGACGGGACATAAGAAAAGTCTGAAAGAAAGGGTCATTTTGGTCACCTCGTCGTTGTTCACGGCGTGGGCAGGCAAGACGCTGCAACCGCTTTGTCATGTCGCCTTGGCTTGACCGCTCGAGCATCTCAACGGACGCGACCGCGTCGACGTGTCGATGCACCTAAGAAGTGGCCGCACAAGGGTAGACCCACTGGGACTCGAGAACGATGGGCTGGTATTCTGAAGGCAAAGCCGTGCGTGCAGTGCAACGGCAAAGGAGGTTTGCGGACAAAGTAGGCTGTTGCTGCCCCGGCCGGGGTGCGCCGCATGGCATCCGTCCTGGACCCGAAGCGTTGATCACAGCGAAATTCAAGGCAAGTCTCTATGAAAACGTCGGTGGGCGGCCGCCTACGTGCAGCATCCGGGCCCGGTCCCGCACCTGATGCACACCGCCCCGCTTGCGAGAATCAAAGATGAGATCTGGGTCCGCAACCAAGCCTCAAAAAAATCAGGTGCCAGCACAGGGTGTAAAGACAATGACAGCGCGCGCACACCCGCGTGCGTATATTCGGAGGCTTCAAGATGGTTTCTACTTCGTTAGTTTTGCAAAGTTATATATACTTCAGAGGTCCAGAGCTTCAGGCAATTCTGCCAGACGAGCAACAAAATGAGCCCCGTTGTCGAATTAGTCGTAGCAGCTGGCACGGGACGAAAGTGGGGCGATACCTTCTGACCAAAGCATCTCTCAAAGCAGCCAGATCTTCAAGCTTGCGTTGACTGCAGCGGGGGCAGCGAACACATGAAACCAACGCCTCCGTCCTGTTTTGTCTCGGTCTTGACAACAATGGTTGGGTTCACACTGTTCCGGTTTTCAGCGGTTCGTGCAACGCGATACGCGATTCCTGGCGGTTCTGATGCTTGTGAGCAGAACTTGAAGGATGAACAACATGAAGGTAAGCCGGGTCTTGCCAGCAGAGCTCAGGCGGTGCGAGGCGGAGGCATCAATAACCATCTTGTGCCGCCTCCCCTCAGGGTTTAGCAACCCTCGCAAAGCGTGCTCCGACTTTCCGCTCTTTGTTCCCGAAGTTCTGGTATCCGTTTTTTGCTGATCTGACTGAACGGACGCAAGATTTTGCCTGGTAGCTTAGTCCACGTGCACCACGTTTAAGCAACTGGTTGGAGTGCTCCTCCTCAGAGGTGAGGGCCGATGGCGGTCCGGATGACGATTTCATCGTGCAGCAAGCCTAGTCAAGTCACTTGTGCGTGTCGCTTTCGACGCCCACAGTTCCGGCCGTTGTTTGGCAGCTGTTCCCGCAGCTGTAGTAAGGACGGAGCACCTTACGACGGTTCCGGTCATTCTGCCGCGAGGCGGCGAGGAGATCGGCTTGAATGAAGCGGCCGGTTCGCTGCGCTGTTCCCAATGGTGTTGTGCAGGACGACTTCTTGAAAGTCTACGAGAAGATGCAGGAAAACGTCGTGCAGAGATCTCGGTTACGGCAAGCCTGGCTGGCACTTGACGTGTTCGCACACTCGGCCCCAGGCCGAAGTCCGCCAGACAGTTCAAAGGTATCGAAGACAAGGACACCGGGGGAGCTGTGGTGGCCTCTATGCCGCTGCGAGTCCGAGTGCAGGATGGCAACACTTTGTGGCGGGTCGTCATGCTGCGGACTGAATTCTGAATGGTGCCACGGCGCGAGTGTGCTCGTTGCATGCCTCCTGCGAGGTTCCGAAGTGCAGTTGATGGCTTCAAGAAGATGTGCAGAGACAAAAGGTTTACGGCCAGAGCCTTATAGCTTCCCCTATAGGTGCACAGATGCGGAGAGAACGGCTCCCAACCGTCTAGAGAGCAGACTCCATGTCGTACCGACACCTGCGGTGCACAGCCATATCATGGTAGTGTCCTTCTGATGGAACTTGATGGGCAGGTTCGAGATTTCGAATATAGCAAGGATGGCCGGGAGCCTAAACGGAACTGGCATGCCGCTTGATTGGGAGGGTTCGGTGGTCTCCTCTCCGGTTCAGGCTACCATAAGTTGGAGCAGCAGCGAAAGTCTGTCGAGGAGTCGGTGAAGAGGCACTAAAGGGTCTTCGCGACTGTGAAGTTTGTGGTCAGCCGCTCTGCACAAGGCAGCGCGATCTCGTCCATGGTCTTTACCAGGCTGGCATTCCATCGTCTCACCAGTGAAGTCTGAACTTGTCACCCGCCCAGGCCTCATGGTCCGATGTCTTTGTTGCTCGAGCCTCAGCCTAGGACCAGAGGACGAAGACCTGGCTCTTCACCTCTGCACAGCATGGCATCTGCGTGCACTTGTGCCCTCTGTCAACCTCCTTGCTCCGTTTGTTTGCGTGCTGCTCCAATTCTGCTAGCCGCTGCTAGCCGCAATCAGGCGTGGATGCACATAAAGGCGATGCGGGTCTTTGTAGAGAGCGTCCTGCGCTTTGGCATGCCCAAAACCCAGAGATTCTGCAGTCCTACAGCACAGAGACAGTTCGGGGTGCTGGAGAGAGTTTGAAGGCCACCCTCCTTCGCTGCCTTCATCCTGAGCCCCAAGGTGGGCAGCGCGAGGAATCGGGAGGCATCGGGAGGAGGGCGCAGCATCTGTGCCAGGGCGATACGGCCGCAGCGCGGAAGGTTCTGGCAGAGACCCTGGGAAAGCAGGCCCGGTGTTTGCGAAACTTCACGTCACAAAAGCTTGATACGGAAAGATCAGTGCTTGTCTCTCACATATTGTATTACTTTGATACCGGCGCGTGTGCGAGAAGAGAGGTGAGTGGGAAAACCGTGTCCCTAAATCTAAAGGCACGTGGATTCGCATATAAATATTGTAGCAACAAGGTAAGAGGGCCTGTCGCGCATCAAGATTCTGCAGCGAATCTGACTGCCTCGAATCCAGAGCAACGGCTGATCCGCTAAGCCACACCATCTACAACGGTGAAGCCAGACGAGTTCGTAAGAGTCACAACAAAAAGCGCAGTGGCACAAGATCTGCTTAATTAAGCTGCACGGGACCTCCTGGAGGCCGGCGCCATGGGTACAGCAATGTCTGAGGCAGGATGTGCCTTGGACGAGAGTTCCGCATGTCACTTCGGCTCTTGTAACACTGCAGGCAGACGGAGATGAAGAGTTCTTCCCGTACGTCTCCCTGTCTTTCACGTGCCACGGGCTGGCTTGCAAACACGGTTTGAGTGACGCTGGCAGTCGGGAGAAGTTGAAGTTGCTCTGGCATCGCAGGGCCTTCAACGTGAACCGGGACAAGTGAGGTCGCCCAAGTTTGCCGAGGCACTCCGTGCAAGTGTTGGGCTTCAGAGAAATGCCGGGTCTGCAGCTCTTGGCCAGGACCCTGGATGCGCGGCAGATGTCTGAGCTGCCCATCAGCAGCAAGATTCCTGAAGCGATGCTCTGGGATCCTCTCTCGTCTCTCCGCTCGCCTTTGCTCGTACTGGTCGTGTCGCGACCAGGGGCATGAGCAGGCGCCCGGAGAGCCGCTTGCAGCAAACCAACAGCCCAACCGCGAGTTGGAAGTCTAACCACCAGTAGATGGTCACGCCGTGCTTGTTCCTTGCACTGGAGGAGCCCAGAGTTGCAGCATGAGTTTTGGTAGAGTTTCTGAATGGCATCCCAAAGACGTGAGTCCGACAGAGGCCACGGACCTGACTTGTGTGTGAAGTCAAGAGATATGCCATGCACCCTCATGCACCCTGTGCCTCTGCAGGCAATGTGGTACATGACTAGGTGACTAGGTCACCTTGCCCTGCCTCTCAGTCTTGCGTACGTCGCCGGAGCCATTCGCCGGTTGCCTTTAGCTGCAGCCTGGGAGCCTCGTGCGTGTGTCGAAAAGAAGTGTACAGTGAAGCCCGGGACAGCTTGCTGTTCTTGTTGAAGATGCATCGCGTCGAGGGGGGTGTGATTTGTCACCGAGTTGTGCATACCTACGCCGTTTGCGCTTGTCAGGACTCAGGCCAACTTTGTTTCACATCGCAGCTTGACTGCTCAAGATCCGGTTCGCCGAGATCCGCTTGCGCTACGGATAGTAGGTGTCGCCCTTTCACTGTGCAGTCAACCCAACGGCTCTAATCTCTGATCGTGCCTGTGAATTTGCTTTTGCTCCTGTATCGCTTCAATCTACGATTGGCTGCCCAGGGCTTTGTGACCGAGAGTTAAGCGGATTTTTTTGCTTTTCACAGCAGGCAACACTTGAACACTTGCGAACCCCCAAAAATGCATCCCTAGGTTTTCAAGCCCCGAATGCTGAAGGTTGCGATCTTGTAATTGAGTGTTTCTTTAGATCGGAGTCTTCGAGACCCCTGGCCCTTAAAGCGGCCGGTGCTATCTGAAAAGCTCCTATGCGGATGTTGTCAGGTTGTGGATCTGTTGGTCTTGTTTGGGCTCGACTCTAACTACATATGAGCAACATGCAATGCAGTGACCCCCAATCCCAATCTCCGATGCGCAGCAATTATCGCCTCAAGAGTTTTCAAATCAATCGAGCACATGCCCCCGTACCCTCTTTCCGAAACCCACAAGCGTATTATGATACCTGATTGGAGACACCAGGCTAGAACGTTGAAGAGTGCAGCTGCAGTCCTCCGTCCATGCTGGGTACATCGCAGTGTCCCGCCGCGGGGAAACAATTGTCATTGCAAGATCTGCAGCCATGTTTGGCGTGGCAATTTCATGGTTTTGGCGGATCGCATGTCATTGTATCAGTCTGAGTCATATCGCATTTGACCGAGTACAAGCTTGTAGGTGGCCGGTGGTTTTGGCCTTGCTTGTTTTGTCGATTGTTTGGTTGTCGCTTTGCAGGTTTGGAAAGAAACCTTCCTCGTCAATCCAGCAAGGAGGTGTTTCGATTCTTTCTTGCAGTGTCCATAACAGTTGCTGTATGTGGTGACGGTGAAAGTCCTTTCCGGCCCCGGCCCCAGAGTTCTGTACCCAGGGAAGCCACGGGGCCCTCAAGGCAAAAGTATGTAGAAATCCAGACGATTGGGTTGACATTGTTCTCCCCTAAAGTCGTTCGCAGATCTCCGTTACAAGTCGGGAGCACTGGGAAGACCTCGAGTGTTCGAATCACGTGCAGCACGCAGACAAGGCTAGATTCATGACGCCAACGATTCTGTCTGCTTCACTTGGCTCTGACGATTGAGCAGAATTGAACACACGCCAGTCGAAGCATAACTTTAGTGCAGGTGAGATGCCTTGACGCACTGGGTTGAAGTTTTGCACCGCTATGGAAGCATGGACATCCGCAGTGGCTGCCCAGCTCACGGGCGCAGGTGTGAACGGATTCATCACGTAGGGTCTCAAATAGCCGGATTTGATGTGTTCTGGGAGCTCAGCCAGACAGATAGAGGTCAGCTGCTGAGCTCCCCGAAAGTTGCCAGGCCGTGCTCTTTGCGATGCCTGGGCCCAGATCGGGGGCAGTCTCGTGAATTTGGGTTGCTGCCGAGCACGGGGTCCCAGATCGGCATGGGCAACCTCCGGTTCACGCTGTTTTCATGCAGTGAATTTCCGCATTCAAGGACACTCACAAGGACGTTTCGGAAGAGGTCGGGTTCTGACTATGACGGGCACGGCTGTGCGTTCACTGTGATGCCACGTCACCACTTCCTTCGAAGTCTCGTTCGAGGTCCTGGTGGACGGATGCAGCGATCATCTGCAGCCACTTGACGGAAGCGGCGCTCACACGGACGTTTCGGAAGAGGTCGGGTTCTGACTATGACGGGCACGGCTGTGGCGTTCACTGTGATGCCACGTCACCACTTCCTTCGAAGTCTCGTTCGAGGTCCTGGTGGACGGATGCAGCGATCATCTGCAGCCACTTGACGGAAGCGGCGCTCACACGGACGTTTCGGAAGAGGTCGGGTTCTGACTATGACGGGCACGGCTGTGGCGTTCACTGTGATGCCACGTCACCACTTCCTTCGAAGTCTCGTTCGAGGTCCTGGTGGACGGATGCAGCGATCATCTGCAGCCACTTGACGGAAGCGGCGCTCACACGGACGTTTCGGAAGAGGTCGGGTTCTGACTATGACGGGCACGGCTGTGGCGTTCACTGTGATGCCACGTCACCACTTCCTTCGAAGTCTCGTTCGAGGTCCTTGTGGACGGATGCAGCGATCATCTGCAGCCACTTGGCGGAAGCGGCGCTCGGCCAGCTGAGCAGAGGGTCATGATGCACTGTGGTCTCATGGAACCAAAGATCTCAGGCAGGCCAGCCCCAAGCAAGTTCCGAGGCCGGAGCGTGATGATACCAAACTGAGCACGCCGCGCAACTCCACTCCAGCCAGGCTGCGCTGCCTCTTCGTTTATGCAGGTACTATAGGTTGCGAGCTTCACCATCAGGCTTCGCTGCCTTGCCGCAGGATGAAGAGCACACCGTCAACTCCGTCGACGGTGTGTCCGTCAGACCAGGACTAAATAAGCCTTGAGAGAAATTAGCTGCCCTGACTTAGTTCCCTCGGGAGCTTCAGAGGGGGCACTCGCGCTGGCAGGAGAGGTCCTTTGCTGCACTTCTTGTTGACACATGGCTCCGCTCTCAAGTTGCCAAGCATACACAGCTCGCGCAGCTGGCATCCGAGGTTTTCAGAGGAGCTTTACTCTTGGCTGCAGGTCCCCACACTTTCGCCATCTTTGGCTCTTGCCGCATGCCAGATTAATATCACAGCAACACAAGGTCGCCGACCTCCTGCAGCTCCTATCGGTTGGCCGAAACTTTCGGGTAGAGGCCTGGGCACTGCTTCAGCGGTGATGTCGCGAGACTAAGAATGGGTCAGGTGATTTTTGCGCACCTCAAGCACTTCGTGGATTTCAACCGGCCCGGCTGTTTGTCATTCCTGCCGCCTGCAAGTTTGCTCGCTGCAGATCTGCAGGCCTGACGTTTTCGTGGCCACCTACTACGCCTACACTGCTCCATTCGCCCGCGGCCACACAAGGAACTTGCAGCATATGGACTATTGGAAGTGCAGACCTTCGTGTGTTCCCACACCAAAATGCTGTCACAGCTGCTTGGGCTGTCTTCATCGTGCCTGTAGAGTTTCCGTGTTGGCACAATGTCCAATGTCTTTGAAGTCGTTGAATTCCTTCAGCCTCGCATTTCAAGGCCTTCGCTTCGTAGTGAAGAACAGCAAGTCCCTCTTCCGGAGCTTTCCAGAGTTTTTCGGGGAGTTGGTGCAAAATTTGAAGATGCACAGCGATCTTGAGCCCGCATACATGCTCGGCATTTGCCGACATTGGTTCAATGCCTTGGCGAGAGAGGCTTTGCAAGATGACGCCTGCAAAGCTTTCAAAGATTTGGTTCTCGGGCAGGCAAGCATGCTGCGCGAACCTTTGTCCTACACCGTCGGAAGTTCCTTGCGGTCAGCCAGACCTGCGATGCCACGTGCTGCCGCTGCTCCAAGTTTCTTTGGCAGCTGCGGGTTCTCGGTTCTGCGAGGTGCAGCTTGGGAGACGGTTGCCAGCTCTGTATGTACCCACCTGTTCCGAAACTTGTGTCATAGACATGATTCGGCAAGATGTCAGGTGGTGACTATTACTTGCACTACGTGCAGGGAGTCGATATGGGAGACGACTTTCCAGACCTTCGGCTCTGGCACGGGGCAGTATGGTGTGGTGCCCCTGCCGGTCATTGATTTGTTGTGGTAGCTTGGCGGCACAAAGTGCCTCATGCACTGGCCAGAAGAGGAAGATTGAGTGCAACTGCATGTCGCCTTCGAGGTGCCTGCATGCTCACCGTGGTGCGGCGACGTTCACCTCTCGACAAGGCCAGCAACATGACGGGCGCATGCGGTGGTTTTTGGTGTCATGTGCTGCGGGTTGATTGAACCGTGTTCTCGTTGCAATACCATGTCCAGAGTTTTATACACACAACCAGCAGGTGTGCTTGTTCGTTGCAGCCTGTCGGCGCGAAGGCAAGTCACGTAGTAGACCGAAAGGTTCTCAAGAACATGGCGCGAAAAGCTCTCTGCGTGGGTTTGAACTATCCCACCTCCAGCTGCCAGCTGCAGGGCTGCGTTGAGGACGCTGTAGCTTGGGAACGGAAGCTGCGCGAAACTTTTCATTTTGAGACGCGCTTGCTGATCGACCAACACCTAGATGGCCGTGTATCTGAAGAGGCGTCCCAGATCCCGACGAGGTTAACCGTGTTGAGGAACTTGGCATTTTGGCTTGTGGACGGTGTGCAGCAAGGCGATACATTGGCATGGGTGTTTGCCGGCTTCGGCTGCCAAGTGGTGAAGGATGATCATGTTGTCCTCGACGCATTGCTTCCAGCAGCTGATGGTGAAGTATCGGGTAGCTCTGCTCTTGCTGGGAATGGTGGCCGAGAAGTCATATTGAAGGAAGATATTCAATGCATCTTGTCGCGTGTGCCTGCTGGGGTCCACGTGACAGTAATCATGGACTGTGCCCATGCAGCTGGATTATTGCGTGTCGGCAACAGCGTCGCACAAGAAGGCGAACTAGCACCTGAAGGCCGCCGTGGGCCTTTGATTGTGTGGGAAAATGTGTCCTTTCCCAGGTTTGTTCCGCAAGTGACTGGTTGCATCCTCGATCCCCGTGCTTGCATTTTTCTTGTTGCGGCTTCTGAAGAGTGCGCAGCATGCGAAGTTGAGATGGACGGCGAAGGAGGGAAGTGTCACGGTGCCATGTCTCTGGCTTTGATCTCTGTTTTGGATGGTTTGGTCAGGCCGGAGGATTCCATCACCAGTTGCACGTATGCAACATGGCTTGAAAGTGCATCCGGGGCATTGGCGACATTTGCCCCTCATCAGCGTATCCATGTTGATTGCAGTGGATCGCTGAATTCTGTGCTGTTCGGCTTGGAGGAGTTCATCACGGCACGCTCGCAGCACTCGGAACCCGTTTCGCAGTGCTGCTATTGTTGCCAGTAAATTCGCGAGGCGAGAAGCGTGTTGCTGCTGAAGCTGTGCACAGAAAATCGCGTTTACTGGTGGTATGTTGAGGTGTGTTGAGCCGCAGCGTTGAAATAGGCCTCAAGACGGGCTCCGTGCGTTGCAGGTCGGCGAGAGCAAACTTGGAGGCCCCGCAAGCTTTGCGACGTGCGCATATAGTGTATTACACAGTGTATTCCTAGACATGAGTGTCCAGCTGGTAGGAAAGATGGTGCAGTTTGTTCGCCTTTGAACGGATTACGTGTATGACTCCGCACCGGTTTGGTATCTCTTGCAGTGTGTCATGTTATTCGTGGACGGCCGAAGCGCTTGCAGGTGCCGGTGGTGCCTCTCGCATCCTCCTGTTCCACCTGCTGCTTGGGTGGACCCCGTCACGGTCTCCTATGCGCGGGGCCTCATGGCCACCAGCTGTAAGGAGTCTCCAGCATGGGCCTCGAAGTTGACACTGCCGGCTGCGATGAGATGCCGCTTTGGATGAGTGCGGACTGTATCGCGACAAGCAAAATTGGCGGCGATTTGCTAGCGAGGTCTTTGTTCGCTCTACCAGTAGCGTGGGTCTGGTCCCGCGCAAGGCCTCAGAGCAAATGGACGTGCAACCCAGGGCAACGCAGTTCGCTTGTCGTGTTTACATACCAGAGTTTCAGGGCTGGTGTCAGTCGATAAGCGGGCGACAGGGCAAAGCCAGGTCAAGCGCTTTTTATGTGAAATGAAAAGTGAACCTTTCCAAGGCCCCCAGCTCACAGCAAGATGGATCCTAGCCTCTCCGAGCACACCTGACCACGTGTGTTCTCAGAAAACGGGGCTAATGCAAGCGCCCGTTCTGTTTTGAAATTCTCAGATGTGGAGGACAGGAAGCTGAGTTTTAGGGGGGGTAAAGTGTCATGGGGTTCGGGCTTCCTGAAGCTGCAGCGCCCTGAGTCGCAATCCGGCACTTGCATGTTGCAGCATTCTGCAGCCGTGTGAATCACGCTACTTCCTGAGCAAGCATTTGAGAGATGCCCTATCCTTGGCAAGATGTGGCACCCTTCGGAGCTCGGCCAGTCCAGCAAACCCAGGTCCTGAAATCTCTGAGGCTCCGGCCAGGTAAGCGTCTCCCATTCTTGGACCTCCCGGCGCGTGAAGGCCTCCCTTCAGGACTTCGCTTGGCATCGCTTCCGAAAGAGGCGATCGCGCTTGCCTCAACAGAGCTCAACAAGAGCATCCTCTCCGACCGAGTACTGGAGACTTGTGTGGTTTTTTTCTTGTTTTGCGGTGGTGCGTTCCTGCAAGCGATTCGCTGGGCTGCATCATGTGTCGCCTTCGCACAGGAGCTGGGCCTGAGCTTCTACGCGGTGAAGTCCCGCCACGGGGCGGCTCGGAACGGCGTGCGGCTGCGGGGTGCCGCGGCGGCGCCAGCGCACCGGGTGCTGAGCTTGGGTGCATTGCCGGCCTGCCGAAGGCTGCTCGGGGAAGCGCTCCAGCGCTTGGGGCTCGCCAAAAAGGGGCTGCTCCAAGTCCAAGCCGAGAGCCGTTGCAACGGCCTGGCGCGGCGCTACGCCAGAGGCCAGGCGCTGCCCCGGCACGTGGACAACCCCATGTTCGAGGACGGATCGTGACGGAAGGGCCCGGGGGCCGGGCATATGTTTTAGCTATAGAGATGCTCTCTACTCGTAGGTTTGCCGGGCGCCAGGACACCATCGTGGGGGTGGTCTTGAAGTCCGGCGCGCCTTGCGATGGGCTGCGGCTGTGCCAGGAGACGCCCTGCGAGTCTAAAACTTTGCTCGCCGAGGCCATTCCGTGAGGAGCTGTGTTCATGTGTTCTGCCACGCTCTCAGGGTCTCCTTTCCTTTTCCAGGCCGTCGGGCTGGGCTTGAAGGCCCGACACTCGGACTGCGTGGCTCTAGCGTTGCGGGGAGTTTTGTGTCCGGAGGCAGGTTTCTTTGCGGAGCTCGGCTTCCGGCTGGAGGAGGAAGATGGGCTCTGCTTCTGCCTGCAGGGACCTGCGCGAGAGATGGCCCATGAGGTGCCGCCGGTGAGCTCCGAGCGCGTGTCCCTCACTTTCCGGTGGTTCCGAGAAGACTTCTTGGAGGAGCTGAAGCACGCAGAGGCCCATCTCGAGGACGACGCGTGACGGACCCTCCTCTGGAGCTGCCTACATATCTACATTGGCCTACATCTTGTGCTGACGGAGTCGATGTCATCCTGTCACGCTGCATCATACCTTCAAACGGGACTCCCCTTTCCATTTGCTTCGCGCTCTGCTGTCGTTTTGATGAGCTCCAACCCTGATGAGACTGCGGACCGTCGAGCTCCACAGCATGTTATGTATTTGTATTTGTTTCAACTTTAATGGAGTCTTAGCTCCTCCGGGCTCTTTGGTGCAGAGCCGATGCTTGAAGCGCAGCAGAGTCCGGCCGCTGTGGTGGACTTTCGCGGCATCCGCCGATGGTTGCGTTATTGCTAGCATCGTCAGAACGACTTTCCCCTTGGCAGACCGAACACTGGGTCGACGATATGAAAGCTTCGGATTCAACTTGAAGGTGCTGTGCAGCTTCGACGATCTTCAGATCGTGCGGAGGCGCATCTGCACCCATGCGGCTTGAGTAGCAGCCTTGCCAAAAGAGCTTCCTGCCTCGCGCCTAAAGAGGCTGCAACAACAATACCGATAATGATGATAATCGTAGTATAACAGTAAGATCAATCATAACAAGAACAACAACAATCATGATGATGAAGAGCAGGAGTATTAATGATGACATTCAAAAGAACGGCAATAGCCACAATATGAATGCGATAACAACAGTAACCGTATAGTAATGACCAATCGGCTGGAGCGCTCGCAGGAGATGGAGCACAAGACTTGGGATCACCAGGGCTGCAACTTGCGAAGTGCTGAGAGAAAGCGCCATAGGGGGTAACTGTACCATGTTCATTGCAGCGGACTCAGGTTCATCCAGCAGAGTATCAGCTTCAGAGAGGCGCGGGAGGGATTTTTACAGCTGTGGAGGACGTGACGTCGGGGGAGTTGGGTGGCTCTCAGTGTCACCCCATGTCCAGGAGTCTAGGGCGTCGCACATGCAGACCAAAACTTGAAGTGGCCAAGACTTGGAGCAGAAAGCACACAGCGAAGAACACGCGATAATTGCTTGAACTGCCGCCGATGCCGAAGCTGGCAAGATTGGCGGGCTTGGCGGCTGCGGCCTGCTTGCAATGAGTGAGAGAGCGCGAGCGCGCGCCCACTCTAAGAAGTGCTTCGACCCGGCGACCTTTGTCAAGGTGTCATCTCTGCCATTGACGTTCCTGCAGTCTCGACGGGGCCGAAGCAGCAGAAAAACTCCGGGACGCGGGCTTTTCGGCGTTGCGGCACTTCGCCATAGGTCTCTCCTCCGGAGGCTTCTCACCGCAGACCTGCGTCTGCGAAGGCCATCGCCGGGGGGCCCAGGGACAGGGAATCGGAGAGAGAGCGTCCAGATGTAGTAAACAGAGCCGCTTCGCTTGCCCAACCTCTGGGGAGGCGGGCTTCGACTTAAAGAGAATCGACCAACCTCTTCCTCGTAGCACGCCTTTGCGCACGTTCAGTAGAGGACGCGAGAGAGTCTTGACATGTGCAGCTTAAGCAATTGCTCTCCCTAAATCACGTTGCCGCCAGCATGGGCCGACGCGCGGAGAGAGGGGATCGCCTCTCCCTCTCGAGCCTGCAGAAAGAGGAAGACTCGGCACCAAGCCGGCGCCGTAAATGTAGCAGCTTTCGCTCAGTTTCGCTCAGGGGGACCCACTCCTTAAGGGTGAATCTAGAGATCTAGAGATGGACAGAAAAAGCCAGAGACAAAAGCAGCGAGCGGCTGGGTCTCCCTTTGCAGGTCACGGGAGTGGCGGGTCCCTGGGCAGCTCGGCCTTGGCCTCGGCCTCGCGGACCTGCCACAGACCCCGCCCATCCCCGCCCCCCCCGGGGGCCGACATCCAAATGCTGTTTGCGCTTCGCATCTGCAGGCAGCCCCATCGGCACGGAGGCTGCCGGCGTTGAGGGCTGCCCAGGTCGAGGACTTCGTTCGTGAAGGCCGGCGAAACATGAACGGCCGAACGGCCCCTTTTGCGGTGGATCCTGGCCAGCAGAGCATAGCAAAACTGCATTTCCTCTTGACTTTTTGGTCCTTCGAATCTCTGAAGAAGCAACACGAATCTTCTACCGATTGTCACAGCGAAGGTACAGTTTCCACATTGACATATCCTTCTTGAATCTTCTGGAGGACCACTCTACAAGAAGCTGCTGCTTTGCTGCTCTCCACCTTACAGCTCTGAGTGGATCAGGCATGGTGAGGCCGGTGTGGCTCACGGATCCGGCGCCGTTGTTGCGTCTCTGTGTTACTTGACCGCAGGTCTTGGCGGCCACAGCCCAAGCTCGGAATCCTCGGAAACCTTTCGAAGAGGAGATCGTTGGAGGAATGCATTCAGGAGCGGCTGGGCCCTAGCCTGCCGGGATCCGCGGAGGAGGAGAAGGCTTCAACCTGCGGCAGTACTGCTTGCTATCTCCTGTCTGCTGTTGCAGATAGCGCGCCGCATCTACCACTTTTATTTGTCCAGCTCTGAGCTGAACCAAGTTTGCGATTCGCACAACTCTGTCGGATTCGAAGCTCAGTTCGCAGATGCGACTCGTACTTATTCATCCGCAAAGTGGGACTCTGAGGCCTATCTACTACTGGATGCGCCAGCAGATGGCCGAGATCCGAGCGTCGAGAGAGCTGAGGCCGGCGGGTAGGCTGAGGCGCTGTGTGCACTTCGGACTTCACGGACTCTGCATGCTTCTCAAAGCTTCTCAAACAGTTCAAACGAAGCAAGTTTAGCAGATCGCGGAGTGTGCTAGTTTGCTGCTCGTCTTTTTGTGTCCATTCCATTCGAAGGGTTGGTCGGGCAAGGCCTGGAACGAAAACCTGCTGTAGCAGTACAGCTATATGGGTATGTACGTAGGACCTTTAGGTTCTATTTGGCGTAGGGCTTGCTCTGTGTCTTAATATAAACTGTGTATATACGGAATTACAAATTTAAAGAATTTAAAACTTTAAAAGAGAGTAAATTCTTTAAATTTTGAAATCGTCCAGAATTAAAAATTTAAAGAATTCAAAACATTTAAAGGGGCTAAATCCTTTAATTTTTTAAATCGTCCGGAATTAAGAATTTAAAGAATTTAAAAATTTAAAAGGGGTAAATTCTTTAAATTCTTTAAATTTTGAAATCGTCCGGAATCAAAAATTTAAAGAATTGAAAGAATTTTAAAAATTTAAATGTTCAGCTCCAGCCCCAGCCCCAGCCCCCCAGCCTCCGACCCCAGCCCACGGAATTAAATTTCTTTAAATTCTTTAAATTCTTTAAATTTTGAAATCGTCCAGAATTAAAAATTTAAAGAATTCAAAAAAATTACAGGGGGTAAATCCTTTAAACTTTTAAATCGTCCGGAATTAAGAATTTAAAGAATTTAAAAATTTAAAAGGGGTAAATTCTTTAAATTCTTTAAATTTTGAAATCGTCCGGAATTAAGAATTTAAAGAATTTAAAGAATTTTAAAAATTTAAATGTTCAGCTCCAGCCCCAGCCCCAGCCCCCCAGCCTCCGACCCCAGCCCACGGAATTAAATTTCTTTAAATTCCTTAAATTCTTTAAATTTTGAAATCGTCCAGAATTAAAAATTTAAAGAATTCAAAAAATTAAAGGGTGTAAATCCTTTAATTTTTTAAATCGTCCGGAATTAAAAAGTTAAGAATTTAAAAATTTAAAAGGGGTAAATTCTTTAAATTCTTTAAATGTTGAAATTGTCCGGAATTAAAAATGTAAAGAATTTAAAGAATTTAAAGAATTTTAAAAATTTAAATGTTCAGCTCCAGCCCCAGCCCCAGCCCCCCAGCCTCCGACCCCAGCCCACGGAATTAAATTTCTTTAAATTCCTTAAATTCTTTAAATTTTGAAATCGTCCAGAATTAAAAATTTAAAGAATTCAAAAAATTAAAGGGTGTAAATCCTTTAATTTTTTAAATCGTCCGGAATTAAGAATTTAAGAATTTAAAAATTTAAAAGGGGTAAATTCTTTAAATTCTTTAAATTTTGAAATCGTCCGGAATTAAGAATTTCAAGAATTTAAAGAATTGAAAGAATTTAAAAAATTTAAATGTTCAGCTCCAGCCCCAGCCCCAGCCCCCCAGCCTCCGACCCCAGCCCACGGAATTAAATTTTTTAAGTTCTTTAAATTCTTTAAATTTTGAAATCGTCCAGAATTAAAAATTTAAAGAATTCAAAACATTTAAAGGGGGTAAATCCTTTAATTTTTTAAATCGTCCGGAATTAAGAATTTCAAAATTTAAAAGGGGTAAATTCTTTAAATTCTTTAAATTTTGAAATCGTCCGGAATCAAAAATTCAAAGAATTTAAAGAATTGAAAGAATTTTAAAAATTTAAATGTTCAGCTCCAGCCCCAGCCCCCCAGCCTCCGACCCCAGCCCACGGAATTAAATTTCTTTAAATTCTTTAAATTCTTTAAATTTTGAAATCGTCCAGAATTAAAAATTTAAAGAATTCAAAATAATTACAGGGGGCAAATCCTTTAAATTTTTAAATCGTCCGGAATTAAACATTTAGAGAATTTAAAAATTTAAAAGGGGTAAATTCTTGAAATCCCGGAATTAAAAATTTACAGAATTTAAAGAATTTTAAAAATTTAAATGTTCAGCTCCAGCCCCAGCCCCCCAGCCTCCGACCCCAGCCCACGGAATTAAATTTTTTAAATTCTTTAAATTCTTTAAATTTTGAAATCGTCCAGAATTAAAAATTAAAAAAATTCAAAAACAAATAGAGGGTGTAAATCCTTTAAATTTTTAAATCGTCCGGAATTAAAAATTTAAAGAATTTAAAAATTTAAAAGGTGTAAATTCTTTAAATTCTTTAAATTTTGAAATCGTCCGGAATTGAAAATTTAAAGAATTTAAAGAATTTTAAAAATTTAAATGTTCAGCTCCAGCCCCAGCCCCAGCCCCCAGTCTCCGACCCCAGCCCACGGAATTAAATTTCTTAAATTCTTTAAATTCTTTAAATTTTGAAATCGTCCAGAATTAAAAATTTAAAGAACTCAAAAAATTTAAAGGGTGTAAATCCTTTAAATTTTGAAATCGTCCGGAATTAAAATTTTAAAGAATTTAAAAATTTAAAAGGGGTAAATTCTTTAAATTCTTTAAATTTTGAAATCGTCCGGGATTCAAAATTTAAAGAATTTAAAGAGTTTTAAAAATTTAAATGTTCAGCTCCAGCCCCAGCCCCAGCCCCCCAGCCTCCGACCCCAGCCCACGGAATTAAATTTTTTGAATTCCTTAAATTCTTTAAATTTTGAAATCGTCCAGAATTAAAAATTTAAAGAATTCAAAAAAATTAAAGGGTGTAAATCCTTTAATTTTTTAAATCGTCCGGAATTAAGAATTTAAAGAATTTAAAAATTTAAAAAGGGTAAATTCTTCAAATTCTTTAAATTTTGAAATCGTCCGGAATTAAAAGTTTAAAGAATTTAAAGAATTTTAAAAGTTTAAATGTTCAGCTCCAGCCCCAGCCCCAGCCCCCCAGCCTCCGACCCCAGCCCACGGAATTAAATTTCTTTAAATTCTTTAAATTCTTTAAATTTTGAAATCGTCCAGAATTAAAAATTTAAAGAATTCATTAAATTTAAAGCGGGTAAATCCTTTAAATTTTTAAATCGTCCGGAATTAAAAATTTAAAGAATTTAAAAATTTACAAGGGGTAAGTTCTTTAAATTCTTTGAATTTTGAAATCGTCCGGAATTTAAAATTTAAAGAATTGAAAGAATTTTAAACATTTAAATGTTGAGCCCCAGCCCCAGCCAGCCCCAGCCCCAGCCCCCACCAGCCCCAGCCCCCACCAGCCCCAGCCCAAGCCCCCAGCCCCAGCCCCCAGCCTCCAGCCCAGCAGCTACCTTTTCGCCCACGCCCCCCAGCCCCAACCTCCAGCCCCCCGCCCCAGGCGAGGCCCCGGCCCCAGTTAGTAACATCAGCGCCACCTTTTCGCCCACCCAGCCCTACAGCCAGCACCCATCTCCAGCCAACCCCCCAGCCCTCAGGCCCAGCCAAGCAGCCACCCGCACGCCAGACTTTCGCCCAGCCCCAGAATCTCAGTCCCCAAGCCCCTCAATCCCAGCCCAAACCCAGCCTCCAGTTTTTGCCCCCTCCCCCAGCCCCAGCTCCCAACCCCCAGCCCTATCTTCCAGGCCCAGCCCCCTCGCACGCCCAGGCCCGCATGTACATGAACATGTATCATACACAGAACAGTAGCCTTTTATTATTTATACATTCCGTCAGATCTTGCCAGCAACGTTTTTCTTGAACCTGTGTACTCATGTAGAAATGGACATGCAAGGTTCGCCTTTCATTCTTTTGTTGTTTTGTTTACTTTTTATCTTGTGGTGATGATGCTCTTGATGCTTGTGAGGGTAGTCTAGATACTGATGCTGTGTGATATCGATATGCTCATGAAACAACAATCCAGGTTCCTTCTGCCTGGCGCAGGCGAGTTTGCTTGTATGTTTTTGTAATTCCTGAAAGTTCCCTTAAACACAAGATAGTATTTTCCCGAGTCCATATGATAAATACTGTTATTACGGGTTTCCAGCCCCCCGTCAATTATATACAGAGGGGGGGCTAGAAGCTCTATTGTAACTAGATGGAAAATTTGCTTGGCGGAAAAGATGACACATTTCCGGCCTGAAATGTGTCATGCTTCTTTCTGTAAGGCGGAAAAGATGACACATTTCCGGCCTGAAATGTGTCATGTTTCTTTCTGTAAGGCGGAAAAGATGACACATTTCCGGCCTGAAATGTGTCATGTTTCTTTCTGTAAGGCGGAAAAGATGACACATTTCCGGCCTAAAATGTGTCATGTTTCTTTCTGTAAGGCGGAAAAGATGACACATTTCCGGCCTGAAATGTGTCATGTTTCTTTCTGTAAGGCGGAAAAGATGACACATTTCCGGCCTGAAATGTGTCATGTTTCTTTCTGTAAGGCGGAAAAGATGACACATTTCCGGCCTGAAATGTGTCATGTTTCTTTCTGTACGGCGGAAAAGATGACACATTTCCGGCCTGAAATGTGTCATGCTTCTTTCTGTAAGGCGGAAAAGATGACACATTTCCGGCCTGAAATGTGTCATGTTTCTTTCTGTAAGGCGGAAAAGATGACACATTTCCGGCCTGAAATGTGTCATGCTTCCTTCTGTAAGGCGGAAAAGATGACACATTTCCGGCCTGAAATGTGTCAGGCTTCTTTCTGTAAGGCGGAAAAGATGACACATTTCCGGCCTGAAATGTGTCATGTTTCTTTCTGTAAGGTGGAAAAGATGACACATTTCCGGCCTGAAATGTGTCATGCTTCTTTCTGTAAGGCGGAAAAGATGACACACATGTCCGGCCTGAAATGTGTCATGCTTCTTTCTGTAAGGCGGAAAAGATGACACATTTCCGGCCTGAAATGTGTCATGTTTCTTTCTGTAAGGCGGAAAAGATGACACATTTCCGGCCTGAGATGTGTCAGCGGAAAAGATGACACATTTCCGGCCTGAAATGTGTCATGCTTCTTTCTGTAAGGCGGCAGGTCACTTCCGCCAGATTTTGCCAGCAGATGTGTGAAATCCCTAGCCCGTGTTTTCATGTGGTACTTACAGGTGTTTTGCTGGACCATAGGTCACTTCCGCCAGATTTTGCC